TAGGCATGCTGTATATCGCCTTTACTATGTTTAGTTATGTGCCTTGTATCCCTGATCTCTCCAACACTTTAAACATGAATGGATGTTGGATTTTGTCAAATGCTTTTTCAGCATCTAAGGAGATTATCATGTGGTTTTTTTTCTTTCAGTTTGTTAATATGGTGGATCACATTGATGGATTTCCATATATTGAACCACCCCTGAATACCTGGGATGAAGCCCATTTGGTCATGGTGGATGATATCTTTGATGTATGTGTTCTTGTATTCGGTTTGCAAGTATTTTGTTGACAATTTTTGCATCAGTGTTCATAAGGGAGATTGGCCTGAAATTCTCTTTCTTTGTTGGGTCTTTGTGAGGTTTAGGTACCAAGGTGACTGTGGCTTCATAGAATGAGTTTGGTAGTGTTCCTTCTGTTTCTATTTTGTAGAATAGTTTGAAAGAATTGGAGTTAGCTCTTCTTTTAAGGTCTGGTAGAATTCTGTGCGGAAACCATCTAGCCCTGGGCTTTTTTTGGATAGGAGACTTTTGATGACTGCTTCTATTTCCTTAGGGTATGGACTATTTAATTGATTCAGCTTTGGTAAGTGGAATTGATCAAGAAAATTGTCCATTTCATTTACATTTTCAAATTTTGTGACATACAGACTTTTGAAGTAAGTCCTAATGATTGTTTGGATTTCCTCAGTGTCTGTTGTTATGTCCCCCTTTTCATTTCTTATTTTGTTAATTTGGATAGGGTCTCTCTGCCTTTTAGTTTGGTTAAGAGTTTGTCTATCTTGTTGATTTTCTCAAAGAACCAGCTCTTGGTTTCAGTGATTCTTTGAATTGTTTTATTTGTTTCTAATTTATTGATTTCAGCCCTGAGTTTGATTATTTCCAGCCATCAACTCCTCTTTGGTGTGTCTGCTTCTTTTTTCTCTAGGGCTTTAGGTGAGCCATTAAGTTGCTTGAATGAGATGTTTCTAATTTCTTCTTGAAGGCACTTACTGCTATGAAATTTCCTCTTAGCACTGCTTTCATTGTGTCCCATAAGATTGAGTATGTTGTGCCTTCATTTTCATTGAATTCTAGGAAGTCTTTAATTTCTTTCTTTCTTTATTCTCTGACCTGGCTGTCATTGAGTAGCGAGTTGTTCAGTTTCCATGTGCTTGTAGGCTTTTTGCTATTTCTATTGTTGTTGAGGTCCAGCTTTAGTCCACGGTGATCAGATAGGATACAAGGGATAATTTCAGTCTTCTTGTATCTGTTGAGGCTTGCTTTGTGACCAACTATGTAGTCTATTTTGGAGAAGATTCCATGAGGTGCTGAGAAGAAGGTAAATTCTTTTGCGTTTGGGTGAAAGGTTCTGTAGATGTCTGTTAGGTCCATTTGATTCATGACCTCTGTTAGAGTTATTGTTTCTTTGCTGAATTTCTGTTTTGTTGACCTGTCCTTTGTTGAGAGTGGAGTGTTGAAGTCTCCCACTATTAACGTGTGGGGATTTATGTGTGGTTTAAGTTTTATTAATGTTTCTTTTACAAATATGGGTGCCCTGGTATTTGGGGCATAGATGTTCAGGATTGTAATGTCTTCCTGGTGGAATTTTCCCTTGATGAGTATGAAGTGTCCTTCCCCATCTCTTTTTATTAATTTTGGTTGAAAGTCTATTTTATTAGATATTAGAATGGCTACTCCTACTTGCTTCCTGGGTCCATTTGCTTGGAAAACCATCTTCCAGCCCTTTTCTCTCAGATAATGTCTATCTTTGTGACTTAGGTGTGTTTCTTGTATGCAACACATTGTTGGGGCTTGTTTGTACGTCCATTCTGTTAGTATTTGTCTTTTTATTGGAGAATTGAGTCCATTGATATTGAGAGAGATTAATGACCAGTGGCTATTAGATCCTTTGATATTAATGTTGGCTGTGATAGTGTGTTTGTGTGCTTGGCTTCTTTTTGTTTTGCTGTAGTAAGGTTATTTATTTTCTGTGTTTTCTTGAAAGTAGTTAGTTTTCTTAGGTTGTACTTTTTCTTCTAGTATCTGCTGTAATTCTGGATTTGTGTGTAGGTATTGTTGAAATTTGTTTTTGTCCTTGAAAATCTTGTTTTCTCCATCTATGAGGACTGAGAGTTTTGCTGGGTATAGTAGCCTGGGTTGACATCTGTGTTTTCTTAGGGTCTGCATGATATCCATCCAGGCCATTCTGGTTTTCATAGTCACTGTTGAGAAGCCAGGTATGATTCTGATGGGTTTTGCTATTATATGTTACTTGGCCTTTTTCCCTTGCAGCTTTTAGTATTTTTTCTCTGTTCTGTATACTTACTGTTTTGATTATTATGTGGCAGGAGGATTTTCTTTTCTGGTCTAATTTATTAGGTGTTCTGTAGGCCTCTTGTATGCCTATAGGTCTCTCCTTTAAGTTGGGGAAATTTTCTTCTATTATTTTGTTGAAAATATTTTCTGGGCCTTGGAGACGGGAATCTTCTTTTTCCTCTATTTCTGTTATTCTTAGGTTTTGTCTTTTTATGTTGTCTTGGATTTCTTGGATGGTTTGTGTCAGGAATTTTTTAGATTTATTATTTTCTTTGATGGATATAGCGATTTCTTCCATTGTATCTTCCACACCTGAGATTCTTTCTTCCATCTCTTGTAGCCTGTTGGTTATGCTTACCTCTGTAGTTCCTGTTTTCTTTCCTAGGTTATCCCTCTCCATGATTTTCTCCATTTGTGTTTTCTTTAATTTTTCCAATTCTATCTTCAGATCTTGAACCGTTTTGTTGATTTCCTTCACCTGTCTGACTGTATTTTCCTTCAATTCCTTCACCTGTTTGTTTGAACATTCCTCTGTTTCTTTTATTTCTTTCAGTGATTTAGTCATTTCCTCTCTGAAAGCCACAAACTGTTTGGCTGCATCTTCCTGTATTTCTTTACAGATGGCCATAAGCTGTTTTACTATATCTTCCTCTATTTTTTTTACACATTTTATTTGCTTCCTCCATTAACCTCTTCTTAAGCATAGATGTAAGGTCATCTTCTTGAAAATTCACTTATATTAGGGTGTCCAGGGCTACTTGCCCCTGGATACCTGGGTCCTGGGGATGCCATACTGCTTTGCCTTTTGTTGGTTGTGCTTTTATGCTGGTCTCTACCCATCTGGCTGTCTCAGGTGTCATCTGTTAATTTCTGGTGCCTGCTGGAGTCCTGGGGTGGGAGAATCCCCTTGGCAGTTCTAAAGGACATCCTCAGTTTTTTTAGTATGGTCAACTGAATGGTGGTGCTTCTCAGGAACTGTCACAGTTCACCTCAGGCCTATGGACCTGTGTGGTTACTGTGGTGTTCGGAAGGCTCTCCGCTCATCAAAAGAATTCCTGGAGATGGCTGCCCTGCTGCTGTGTTTCTTGTTCTGAATTTAGAGAACTACAGCTGCTATTAAACTGTACTTTCTGGGTGCAGCCTTCGTGAAAAACCACGGAGTTCGGTGGTTTTGTCAGTTTAGCTATAGATAACTGGTCACACCTCGGAGCAGTATCTGAGGGCTGCTCCAAGGGCTCTCAGGCTTTTGTAGGTCTGAGGTTGGAGCGGTGTGCCCCCAGTACCCTAGCTTAATCAGTGGCAGGTGAGCACAGCACTCCTGTGTGCAGTAGAAGGCCAGAGCTTAGGGCCTGTGGGAACCTAGAAACTTTTCCGGAGCTGGGTAGGTCCTGAGGGTTGGAACCGATGTTTTCTCCGAGTCTGTGATGTTTCAGGGTCTGCAGGTTTGTCTGGGATGGCGAGTAGAGCAAGCAGGCACAGGCACGTGGCTCCGCCTTGCTGGCGACTGGACAACTGGGTACCTGGGCGCCTGGGTGCTTGCAGCCAGAACTTTTTTTTTTGGGGGGGGGGTGTCAGCTGAGTGCTCCGAGGTCAGACCTGCTCTTCCCCTCACTGTGGGCTTCCACCCAACAGAGAAACTCAGTCTCTGGTGCCCTGGGGCCCTCAGTTCTGTCTGGGATGGTGAGTCGAGAGCAGGCAGGACTCTGTGCCAGCGGCTAAGCAATCCACTTTGGGCTGGCACCTGGGCACCCGCTGGACCTGGGTCTTTTCCAGGGGATGTCTGAGTGACCTGAGGTTGGTCCCGATCGTTTCCTGCACCATGGGGTTTTCTCTCGACTGGAAATCCCAGTCTCTGGTTTTGTGGGGCCCACAGTTCAGTCTGGGACAGTGATCAGAGCACACTGGCCTGTGGCTCTGGGCTGGCGGGACCTAGGAACTGTTTGGCGGTTTAGCTGGGTGACCTGAATCTGATTGAATCTCACACCATGGGGTTTCCTCTCACCTGGGAATCACAATCACTGGTGCTTTAGGGCCCAGAGTTCAGCCTGCTGGTCACTGTGCAGATCCTGCTGTGCTGCTGGTCATAGTGTTCTCTGGGCGCTGCCATCTTGGATCCCCGCCCCCAGTAATTCTTTCATATCCATTCTTACATATGGAAATCACGCACATCTTATGTATCTAATTTTATTTTCCCAGTGTGAATGAAGCTCTTTAGCCAGCATATAGATTAAAAATTATATGTTTATCCACATTTGAGGCACTTTTTTTTTTTTTTTTTTTTTGTAGTTCAGAGAACTGGGTTCAGCTTGGGGCACCGCACCACAGCCTGATTAGAAAGCAAAGCTACAGCCTGTGTGTGAGAAAAAAGCAGGACTGTCCTGTGAAAACTAAATATCTTGACTGGGAGCAAAGTAACAGGAAGGTGAAAGACGACTTCTTCCATGTATTTTCAAGGTTTACTGCTTAGAAGAAAAACTACATTTATTTTATTTGGGACAAATAGGCTGATGACGAAATAGGAGCAAGTGTGGAGAGGCAGACTTACCTTCAGAACACTGAAAACGTTTTCTAAATGAAAACCACAGAGATGAAAGGAAGTGTCAGGCAGAGACCTGATAATGCTGCCGTTGGTAGCTCCAAGGTGATTCTCCACTTGGACGGAGATGACTCTAGGGCTAATGTCAATCTTTCACTTTCTTTAACAGACACATTGATATGACCATTGATTTTAATGAAAGATGATTGAAAGTGAAAATTTAAATCGAACAGAAATCATTAAAGAACTGGTGAGTCCAAGCCCAATTTTTTAAAGATAATATTTGTAAGATAATGTTCTGCAGATAATATTTTGGTCCTCCTCCCTGGAGCTGGGAGGGTGAATGGGAAGGATGTTTCTTCTATCTCATAACTCTTGGAGTCACAGAAGTCACACGTGTGAGCTAACTTCATCCTTCCTGGGAGTATGAGAACGGCATCAGTTCAATGCACACTCCATGGTTTGTGGCATCCAAAGGCAGTTTCTTAACTGTTTAGAACAGATAACAATGCAAATTCTTTCTTTTAAAACAGTGTCTGTGCAATGGTTTAAATTACGAGGCGGTTGGACAAGAAGGATCCGACGCGTCAAAGCTAGAGATGTTTTTCTCGGGTTACCCCCGCATAGTCGGATTATCACTGTTTCATAATTTATTAAGTCTCACGATTGTTGCTCAAGAGATAAAGGAGATCTCAGGGTTGGAGACCTGCTCACAGCTTAAAGAACTCTGGATTGCTGAGTGCTGCATAGAGGTGGGTTGAAACAGAGAGTCTGGCAAGGTGCAGCTAATCCCGAACTCTTGGCTTTGGAAAAATAAGTCATTAAAATGTGTGCAGTACATACGGATCAAAACCGATAAATGGGCAGAGATAAAAATTCGTACAAAGTGAAAACAGAGTAAGGAGTCAAAACAGAAATATATTATTTTTTTGCAAATATATCAAATCAGATCACAGCCAGCGTGACTTAGTAGTAACATCGATTCACTTAGGTGTTAAATAGTTAGGAATGTACTTTAGAAAGTAACACCAAAAAATGTATCATGAGCAATAGAAATGTACACACTTTTTAACTCAGAAACCACTACCCCAAGAATTTTATACTAAAGAAGTAATTGAGCCACAGAGAACAGGTACATGCATGAAAGTATTTGTTGCAGCGTCTTCACAATACGTAAAATGATCCGATGTGAGTATTCTGCACATAGGGTAATTTTAAAGAAACCTGTTATGACCTTCATAAGATATTTTCTAATTATTAAGTACTATAATTTGAAAAATTATAAAAATCTGTTAGATGGTCTTAAGCAAAAAATACCACTACTCATAAAATTATACATTTATTATATTAACATAAAACAGATATAGTTGATTAAATTTTTCAAAAACATAGAAAATTAAGTATAGCTGCATTTGGGTGGAGATATTATGTGTTTATTCTAAATGTTTGCTTGATTTCTCTGGGTCCTGATATTACAATAGGTGATATTAAAAGAAAAAAGTTTTAGAACCCTACTTTATTTGATACGGCAGCGACAAGTAATACTCTTCAATCTCCTTTTCAACAGAAAATTGAAGGCCTTCACGAATGTAAAAATTTGGAAAAATTATATTTATATTACAATAAAATTTCAAAAATAGAGAATTTAGAGAAATTGGTAAAACTGGAAGTTCTCTGGCTGAACCACAACATGATAGGAAATATTGAGGTGAGATAATTTTTATAATTTGCCTGTAAGATCAGCCTACTGCCATGGCATTAAAACCGCAGTATCTAAGATCATACAGCAGAAAGGTCAAAATATTTATGACTAGCAGAGTTATTATTGCCAAGAAGAACTACTGTGGGGCTGGAGAGATGGGTCAGGGGTTAAGCACACTGGCTGTTCTTCCAGAGGACCTGGATTCCATTCCCAGCACCCACACGGCAGCTCACAAGCATCTGTCACTCCAGTCCCAGGGGATCCAACACCCCTCTTCTGTTCTCTGTGCACGGGCACACATGCGGACAAAATGCTCACACACATAACCTCTATAATGAAGTAGAAAAAGAACCAGCGTGCAGGTAACAGCTTATAAGGGGTCATGGTCTCCGTCTTCACAACAGGCCTGAGAAGTGCTTGGTGTTAGAAGGTTTTCAAAAGGGAGGTTTACCAAAGCTATGGGATATGTTGTTTCTCCAGTGGCTGCACTTTTCCCCTCCACTCCTTTCTGTTTCTTATTATAATTCTCTCCAGGTTCCATTAGAGTGGGGGTGGAGAGACTTCATTATACCCATTTTTCTCCGGGCCAGAGAAGCACACAGTATCTACTGTCAGAGCTCCCACGGAAATAACAAGATTGATCAACACTGATAATTTTTGTTGTTGTTGTTTTGAGGCAGGGTTTCTCTGTGTAGCCTTGGCTGTTCCGGAACTTACTCTGTAGTCCAGGCTGGCCTCAAACCCACAGAGATCTGCCCACCTCTGCCTCCCTAGTGCTGGGTTTAAAGGAGTGTAAAATTACAAGTTTTCCTGTCAACATAAAAGGTTGGAAACTTATCAGACCACTAGACAGAGAAGTATAGGACACTAAGAGATGCTGTGAGTGAGAAAAACAGTCTTCCGCGATGGGTTGATTGTCCACAGTTGATTATCTAATAACGAGTGGTCAACCCTGAAATCACGTACACATAACTTTGAATGGATTTAGTAGGTTGTGTCTATATATTCGTGTGTGTGTGTGTTTGTGTGGTTTTTACGCATGTGTGTATGTGTGTTACAGTTGTGGAGGAGGAAGACAGGAGTGGGAGTGAGGTATGGAGGCAGTTGAAGGAAGGAAAGTAAATGGAAGAAAATGATATAATTTTATTTTAACAAAAATGTTATTTTACAAAAAAATAAATAAAAATGAAATGAAATGACACGGTGTCTCTACACTTTCAGGGCCTGCAGACGCTGAAGAACCTAACTGATCTCAACCTTGCAGGAAACCAAATAAGCAGCATTGGTATGTAGTGTTTCCTTGGGAAGCTGAGCTAACGCATTTTGAAAGTGTGTGCTTGGATTCACACACACACACACGTGTGTGTGTGTGTGTATATATATATATATATATATATATCCACTTTGTCATTAAAAAAGCATTTCTATTTTTCATACGTTTTTACCTTAGATTAAGGTTCTTTCTATTGAGCTGTGAAGAAATTTGAAAATATTACTGGCTCTTTGAGAGTTTCTCACAATGTGTTTTGATCATGTTCAGACCCACAACTCCTCTTGCTTCCCTACCTGTTTTTAAATCTACTGTTCAAACGTGTAACTGTCAGTCACTAGTCGCTATTACTAACCACACAGTGGTGCCCTTCATCCTACTGATACACAGGAAATAATGGCCATCTGTAACTCCCAAGTATGCCAGGATATATCGTAAAGGTAGAGCTAGAAATTTAATTGTTTTTGCGATGCTGAGGACTGACCTCATGGCCTTGGGCGCTCTACATCTTCATCCCTAATGGCACTTTAATCTTGTTTTTAAATGAAAGGTCGATGTCTTGATCCCAATGAACAACTGGAAAAACTAAACCTGTCTGGAAATCAAATTACTTCTTTCAAGGTAAGTTCAACTAAATACTTGGTTTTGTTTATCAACTTGAATTACAAACTGTATAGACCAGAAAATATAGCCAACAACCCTCCTGCAAGGGGTAATTGCATTGAGTCCATCGCTCTGTGCTTCCTGGTGCTTTAGGGAAGGGGTTCCCAACCTGTGGGCCGTGATCCTTTTGAAGGCCTCATATCAGATATTCACCTTTCAATTCATAACAGTAACAAAATTGCAGTTATGATGCAGCAATGAAATAACTTTTATGGCGCGGGTCACCACAGCAGGAGGAAAGCTATTAAAGGATTGCAGCCTTGGGAAGGTTGAGAACCTCTGCTCTGGGGGAGTTCAGGAGGCATCTGATCAAGCAGCCATAAGGATTTGGTCCTTTTAGAACCAAAAACGAACTACTTAGTTGGCTGGTAGGCTGATACTCTCTCTTAACTTTCTCCGAGTCTTTCTGGCTACAGCTGTTTCTGTGGGGGTTCATCCTCTAATAGCATCTGAAAAAGTGGACTGCCCTTTCTCAGTCCTGAGGTCTCTTCCTCATCTCCGTCCATACTCATTCTCTAATAATCCCATCACATCTTTTGACTGTAAGTGCACCTACTCTAATCACAGCTAAATTGGTCCCTCTACTTATCCTGATGACTCCTCTCAACTACCGACCTCAAAGTGATGTCCACTCCCCAAACCTCTCCCTGCAGGCGTCTCTGACTCCCCAAGTGGTATTTCCACTTTTCCAGTTAATTAAGCCAACATCCTTACGGCCATTTCTTTTCACTCCTATTCTTTCTTCATATCCCATCCTCAATCCGTGAGCAAATCTTATCAGTGTCCATGCAGAATATGCCCAAAGCCTTACCACCCGGGTCACCGTCAACCTGGCTGACAACACTGTCTCTACCATTCTGCATTACTGAGGGGAAAAATTAAAACCCACCTTCTCACAACTCTCCCTATTTTTATTTATTTGTTTATTGTGTGTGTGTGTGTGTGTTAATGTGTATGCATCCATTGCACACATGTGGAGATAGAGGACAGCCTGTAGAAGGAATAGTCCCCCTCATTCCTCCACACGGGCCCTGGGGACCAAGCTCAAGCTGTCAGGCACGGCGGCAGGCGCCCTTACCTGTTGAGTCTCCTCGCCAACCCCCATTTTCTTTTCTCTGTCCTCAATCTGTTCTCCACACAGCAAAGCTTGCCGGCGTCCTTTCAAACATGCTACAATAAGTCTCTCTTGTCAAAACTTCCCTTGCTTTCTCATCTTGTCCACGACATAATTCTGACAGTGTGAGATTGAAGTTATGCGTCCAAGCACACTTTATGATTATAGTAGAGAAAGAGGCGTAAGGAATGATTTTAAATCAGTCAATGTAAATAGATACTCTTTAGCTCAGATTAAAAGCAAAAGGGTGTTGCGAAGCAGTAGAATGAGTATTTTAAAAAGAAATTTGAGCAAAATGTTGCCCGATCAGTCCAACGGCAAAGGAATTAATCAACAGGAAAGGCTAGGAGCATTTTAACAGGCGTTGGAGGAGGCTCTTCTTGGCAGTGGACATTCTGAGAGGGCGAGATGAATATTCACAAGGGCTTGGAGAAACCCCGGGTCTGTCTGAGTAATGTCAGCACTGCCATTTGGCTCAACTACAGCATGCACGTGAGAGCACAGGGAGGAGGGACTAAAAGGTTAATCAGATCTTCAGTGTGGAGTGCGTTGGACAGACAGCGGAGCTGCCACTGCTTCTTCCGCAAGGGGCTATTCTAATGCGACCCCAGATGCCCCTGGGGCACAGTGAACCAGAATTCGTGTACATTGGCCAGGAGCAGCTGGGCACCCAGGAAATGCGTAGCTGGGTGTCCTCCATTTAGCAAAGCTTGCTCTTTTCTTCTGGCAGTTAACCTGTGCTCTCGCTAGAGACAAACATCTTCAACGCATGTATGTAAGCGTGCAATCAGAGCGTGTTCCGTCAGATGGCGGGTGATCTTAAGCGTTCACGGTGAGCCTTCCTAGCTGACTGAACACCATCGTTGATGTTGTAGGACCTTACTAACTTGACCAGGCTGCTCCACCTAAAGGATTTATCTCTGAACGATCCTCAGTATAAAACCAACCCAGTGTGCCAGCTCTGTAATTACTCCACGCACGTGCTGTACCACTTGCCGACGCTTAAGCGACTCGACACATTCGATGTATCAGCCAAGCAGATCAAGGATCTAGCAGACGTAAGTGCGCTCACCATCAGGTAACTGTGACTCACGTTTGCCTGGCTGACGGCCCTTCTCTGGCCGGGTCCCTTCTCTGGCCGAGACCCTCAGGTCTCGTCTCTGCTTGCTCTTGCTTGGTAAGCAGGATGTTTCGCCTGAAATCACAAAGATAACAGCGTTGCTGGAATTCGGTGGGGAGACGAAAAGTGGGAAACGGAGGTTGGAGATGGATTTTCTTAAACCTGATTATTAAAACCTGTTTTAGAACAAAGCAAATGTATACATTTTAAGCCTTTTCCCCCACATGGAAGAGATCTAAGTTACATTTGAATTTCATTTGAATACTAAAGCATGTCTTGGTATATCTAAATAAGTGCAAGTAAGTTTCGTGAACAGCTTGCTGCTTGTTTGAAATTTAACTCAGCGTCCACCATTTTGTCTGGCAAAATAAATCATGTGCTCCACAACACATGGTTTTGTTTTAGTTTTAAGAATTTATTTGAGATCCTTTTACCTCTCAGTGACTCACATATTTTTTTTTTGTACTGGATTTTTCCATTTATGCCAAATATTCAAAATAATAAGAAACATCATCAAACAATTACATAGAATTATATATTAATATGTAACCATATAATTATTTATTATATTATAATATTATATTAAAGAAAATACAATCATTTTTAATTTTGAACAAATACTTGCATGTTATAAATGTATAATTTTAAATAAAATAAAGCAATTATTTTATTATTAATATATAATTATATTACTGTATAAAATAATATGTGATATAATTATACGATGTGATGATATTGTTACAATCGTATAGTAATATAATATATATAGCGTGAGTGTGTCTAGTGTGTACCTGTGTGTGTATGTGTGGGTGCACTCACCTGCGTGTGCTCACATGGAGGCCGAAGGTAGATGACGGGTGTTTGGCTCTGTGCTCTCTATCTTGTTTTTCAAGAAGGAATCTCTCACTGAAGCTGGAACTCATCCTCTTGGGTAGCCTGGATGGTCAGTTCTCTTTGGCTACTCAAATTCTCAGGCGCCATTTAGCTTGTGTATTTTGAAGTGGGCTATTTAATCAATTTATTGTTATTAGCTGATTGATAACTGGATGGTACACTGGCATTCAATTTAAGGTTGGAGAAAATCGCACTAGGGTGACAATCTAACGAATGGCAGGCTTAGTCTGAAATAAGTTCACTTAGAGCATCTTTTTGCAGAATGGTAGACGAAGGTGTATCTTCTGTTGTCAGCCTTTTTAAAAAGGTGAATTATACTCAATTTTACATTTCGTTTTAACCCTTCCTTATGTGTTTGTTTTCCATGAGTTAAAAATTAGGACTATTGTGCTGCAATCCTATGTCTTTTTAGCTAAGTATACTCTTTAGTATACAAATTATACTATAGTATACAAAGTATACAAATTAAATTACGCCTGCAATTTTTTATTGGAAATCCTGAAAATAGACATGCATAAGCCACATGCTCACATATTAAAAACGAAGAGGCCTTTTGAGATTTTCTATCTTACGTAATAAATTGAATACAAGCTCCTGTGAGCCTCGTCATGCCTGCTGTCATCATCAGCGTTTCTGGTGGAGCTAGCAGACGTCCACATTAACAAAGCACTTAGGCTCTTATGCCTGTGACCAAAAGCTCTTAGGGAGGAAAGAGTTTATTTCAACTTACTCCTTGCGATAGGACATCTAGAAAAGCCAGGGCTGGACCTCAGGCAGGGCAGGAACCTGGAGGCAGGAGCTGATGAGGAGGCCGTGGAAGGGTGCTGCTTACTGGCTTGCTCCTCGTGGCTTGCTCAGCTAGGACCGCTGTTCACAGAGATCCAGGCCCTCTCATATCACTCCCTAATCAAGAGAGTGTACCACAGGCCAGTCTCACTGGGCATTTTCTCAACAGAAGTTCACTCTTCCAAAATGACTCTAGCTTGTGTCATGGTGACCTAAAACTAGCCAGCACGGCTACCTGTAATGTGTTTTACCTAATTCTTTGTCATTTCCTCTTACCTTCAGGCCACAGCAATAAAAAAAATAATGTATTATAACATGCGAATAAAAACTGTTCAGAGACATCTGAATGAAGAACTCGAAAAACTGAATGACAGGAAAAGCAAGTTGCAGAAGCTACCAGAAGAACGGATAAAAATATTCAGCTATGCAAAAAAAAACGTAAGACTTAATCACGTAAAATTTCGGTGTCTGCAACGTAGGAAAACTATCTGACGAAATAGTAAACCCTTAATTCTCCTCCTCCCTGCCACCCAATGTGGTGTGTGTGGGTGTGTGTGGTGTGGTATGTTTGTGTTTTATGCGTGTGCGTGCAGAAGTATTCATCATTAAAGGTCAGAACATGAGCTAGGGACATGGTGGGGACCAGTGAACCCTTGGTGCTCACTGGCCAGCCTAGGCTACCGAGCAGACTTCCAGGTTGAGATACCCTATATCAAAAATCAATGTGGCCGGCACCTGAGGAATGACACCCGTGCCTGACCTCTGGCCTCCACACAAAAGCATATGCCCCCACATACACACTAAACAAAAATAAAGTCTGCAAAGTCAAATTATCCTCAAGAGACATGATGAAAAGATTTTATCCTTTGCACAAATGTGTCCATAAGTAAGGTAAGGTTAAAAGTAGATGTACAAATAGCAAAATTGAAGGAACCATGTAAATCAGCACTTTACAAATGAATAAATTACAATGGCTGATAAACACCTGAATGTAGCTCTCTCCCCACGAATTTTGAAATGTTCACAGAGTGTGAAACCACTTTTGCCTGTGAAACTATTGAAGCGCAGCACGCAACGGCCTTATGTGATACAGATGAGCATAATGCCATCTGCGATGCTCCTCACAGTGAGCTGTGGCCACACGGCCTCAGAGAGCTCCCAGACTTCAGCTAGGCAAGCCCACTTGTCTACTTTATTCTATGGATACCTCTCACCACCACTGATCATTTTTACAGTAGGTTCCTGGGTCATCATTTAAGAACAAAGCTGGAGGGCTGGAGACACAAAAAAAAGAGGCTGGCTCTGCTGCTCTTGCAGAAGGCTCACCTTGGTTCCTCGAACCCATACCAGGCTCTGCAAAGTCACCTGTCACTGTGGCTTCAGGAGAGCCAATACATTTTTCTTTGGCCTTCATAGGCACCTTCATTAATTACACAAACCCACATAGCCATATATTTAAAAGTTAAAAAAATGAAATTTTTATGAACTAGAAGTTTGACATGTAAATTAAATTAATAAATAAGTAAATAAATTAGCATGATTACATTTCATAATCAAAATGGTAGTCTTAAAGTACAATGTCAATAAATTTAAATATTTGATTAAAAACCACAGAAGGATTAAAAAATCGAAATCCATTTTATAATGTGCTATTTTTAGGTATATAGGTTGAGAATCCCTTACCTACAATGCTTTACAATCAAATGGATTTTAGCATTTGGAGTTTTTCACATTTTGGGGTGTTCACATGGACTATACCAGCTGAGCACTCCTTAATTAAATATCTAAAGCATGGCCAACATTTCAAATTTGAGTATGCTTCAAATTTCAGATTAAAGGTACCCAACCATATTAATTAAAATCGCAAGGAAGAAAGGGAATATATGTTACATAGGCTGTACACATTGTAAGTATGTAATTGGCTATAGCAGTTAGTTATAGCTATAGAAGTGAAGAAATATAGCTAACTACTATTAAGTTTCTTTTTTTTAAATTTTGTGCAATATAGCTTATCTTTAAATCCTACAGAGATTTGCCCTGGACCCAAACTTTAAGGGAGTGACCGAAAAGCTAAGTAATCAAGATAAAAAATATTTAAGGCAATATTTTAAATATCCCAATTAATACCAAAAAGCCCAATACGGACAACAAGCCTCCCAAAATATTAAAATCTAATGCAATGCGTGCTTTTGAGCTAGTTGGATACTGAAACAAAGGAAATTATTGCCTCCCCTTTGGGTATTTTCTATACTTTATATCTCTTCAGACATAATTGAAAAAAACACTGAAAAGTTAGCATGTTAAAAAAATTACATTATTAGAAGTTTAAGGTTTTATTCACAACCAAACCAGCACTGATTGTAATTTTACTTTGGCCTTAAATATACAAACTCAGCATTTCATGGCCTGTTTTTTTAATGTTCTTTCTTGTTTTCAGTTAAGAGACTGTCAAGCTCTGTCTTTTTAACCTGTCACTTGTTGAATAAGTACTAGTTGGATTTGCACCAGAGTGAAGTTCTTATTTGACTTCTATAAAGCTTGAACTACCTAGGTTTCTACTTCGATCATCTAAACTGACTAATAAATCTCACCACAAAGTGAATATCCGAGTTGAGGCTTTGCCTTAACCACGCTTTATCTTTAATTTGCTCTCTGGTACATTGTTTTCAACAGTTAGAACAGGAATTGTCTGAACTCCAGGGATCTGGTAAAGAGCCAAATGAGAACGCACCAGAGGCTGAGAAGCCCAGGAATAACGAGACACAGGAATCAGTTATGCATCAGAAGATGCTGGCCAAACTGAGCGCTCTGGATGAGAGGATCACGTTCTGGAACAAGAAACTACATGAGTACGTTCTGTGAACCTTCTGGTCATTCAGATAGGAAACATGGAAGAATGCTGGGGGCCAACAGTTGAGCGACAAAATATGAACTGCTCAGGCACTCATAGTTCCCAGGGGCCCCACCCGGGTACCTAATGCCGGGCTCTGGCTGAAGCCATTTTCAGTTAAGCACAGTGAATGAGAGCCACTCAGTTCAGCACCTCAGCAGGTAGACAGGACCCCAGCAAGGCACACCCACGGTCCTGGCTTGGTTCACACTGCTCTTGCATTCACTGGGACACTGGGTAAATGAGTTAATCGGTCCCTGTAATAATATTAACAACGGGATTGATAAACGTAATGAAACCTATACACCTAAAAAAGATAATCAAGAGAGCGGACATGGGGTAAGATGATCAATCCTCGTTTAGAAAGACAGATGGGATGTGCATTGAACGTATGACAGGAGTCTACTGAGCGCATCTGAAAGACTCTAACTAGCAGTGTTTTCAAAGCAGATACAAAGACTCATGACCAAACGTTCGGCAGAGTACAGGGAATCATATGAAAGAAGGGGAGTTAGTATGATGGGGAAAGGATAGGAGCTCCACAAGGACCAAATATATCTGGGCACAGGGTCTTCTCAGAGACTGTCATTCAACCAAGGACAATGTATGGATATAACCTAGAACCTCTGCTCAGATGTAGCCTGTGGTAGCTCAGTAACCAATTGGTTTCCCATAGTGAGGGGAACAAGGACTATTTCTAACAGGAACTCAATGACTGGCTCTTTGACCTCCCCACCCCCCAAGGGAGGAGCAGTCCTGCTAGGCCACAGAGGAGGGCTTTGCAGCCAGTCCTGAAGATACCTGATAAAACAAGATCGGATGAATGGGGAGGAGGTCCTCCCCTATCAGTGGACTTGGAAAGGGGCACGGTGGAGATGAGGGAGGGAGGGTGGGATTGGGAGGAAATGAGGGAGCGGGATACAGCTGGGATACAGAGTTAATAAAATGTAACTGATAAGAAAAAAAATAAAATTAAAAAAAAAAAGCAATGGGATTGTAACAGTTGGAGGTGGGGAGCTTACTCCACGCCCAGTGACCCTCAAACTAGCCATTTAGACGCAAGAACTCTTAGTATCGGCACACCACTGAGAACACTAAGGTGTAAGAAGACAAAGCGACTTGTTGGGGGTTTGGCAGCCATGTTTTTAGACCAGGGAAGTTTTCTCAGCTTTTCACACTCTGAGTGAAGGGTAACAAAGTCAGTGGGGATTTTCAAACCAGGGTGTCTGGTTCCTGGTTCAATTGCTAACACTAAGCTCGCTAGTCCACTAAAAGCAGAAAGTGGCTGATGTTACAAATACACGCGACCTGTTACAGAGCACGCGTGGGGCAGACCGCTGTGATTGAATAGTGTGACTTTCACACCATACGGACATTCACCTGTGTGCTTTGTCGTTGGTAGAATTGAAACCATTTATCACATTGAAGTCAAACAAACGAAGAAGAGGCGTGGCTTACTGATCCTGTTTTTGCTCACGGAGCTGGAGACGGTGGGGAATATCCATTTTGAAGAAGGCACTCGATCTGATGACTGGTAAGCCTGAACTCTGCATATGGCTTTGAAAACGATTGTTCTTAGGGTCCCACGCCAGATGATCAACCTATGAAGTGTCTCATTTTTCAAGACAGTTTTTAACAAAATATCTATCTGTTGAAAATTTGCTATTTCCCATCCGTAACTGCCTAGTAGCTTATATGCCACGAGCTTAGCTCTGGTCACCTCAGCAGTGTTATTCTTTGCCCATTTTCTTTCTCAGACAGACAACGAAAAAAAAAAGCGTTTATGAGAAGTTTATAAAAACTTTAAGAAAAAAAGTTTATGTTCCACTATTGTCCTCATGCATGTTTATACAGTGGCTGGGTAGATACATCCCTGGATTCTGAATACTGGCTGGAAACCAGAACAGAGCAGAAAGCACAGCTCAGTTGGCAACAGCAGGTTGGCACCAGGGAAGGCCATCTCATGGCTGTCCCGCAGGCTTCCCGTGGGAAGCTAAGCTGTCAGTGAGCACATGGCCACTGAGTCGTGAGAGAAGGTGTGACAAAGCCTGACGCCAGGCCGTGGGGGTTCCCAGCGAGGATCACAGCCAGCAGGGAAATGGTCTGGGTGCGATAAGAGTGCAGCTCAGCTCAGCCCGATGTTGTCAGCCTGTTCAAACGTCCGGGGTCTGGAGTCCGACACCAGGTTGTGTATTGTAAGCATATTTAAACCCAGCACAGCGTGGAAAAAAAAAGTTTCTTTGTGTCATACAATCCCTGATGCACAAGAAGGCATAATTAACATCAAAACCTAATTCAAAATACATGTCATTTCTGGCAAGAAAGTGAGTTCTAGAGATAGGCTGCATGTTTTAGGTTAAGGGCTGAGGGAAGGATATGCCATGATTTCTGTAATACATAGGACATTGAGGTCACTTGGGCTGTTAGGCACTTCTGGCCTTGTCTGTGGGAGCTTGGGCAAGAACCCTGGAGCTACAGATAGTATAAGGGTTGTCTAGACTATTAAATATGGCTCTGGTGCTAATTGTGGGAACTTGACATGGCCTGGCCCCTCAGATAACCCAAAGGTCCCTAGACTCTTAGTCACCTCCATTTCCTATCCTTCTGGGTGGGAGAACAGATTAGACATCTTTCCTCTGAAAAGACAACCCTTTGTGCTTAACATCCCTGGGTCCCCCAGTGATCTGTGGGTGCAAGGATTTCTGTGCTCCCAACATCAAGCAAAACTCCCATGCTGGCAAAGATGGAGAGGACCACGAGACACAGAAGTAGAGCCTGGCCATTCAGATCTCAGAACCGTGGCCTTCCTGCCAGTGAGCTGAGCAAGCAGATGTGTGCTCTCAACTAGAGGATATAATTAGAAACAATCCTTAAAGTAAAAGAAAGCCTTGAAAAAAAAATCTGAGTTTCACATTTTTGAAGTCGTTTTCTTAAACTGAGAAAGCCTTTCACGCAGCTGAAGGTCTCCCTAGAGCCATGTTGTTGACCTAGGTGTGTGGAGGGTCAAACGATGTGCGGAAGGACAGGATGGGCTCACACCTCACCCTGGAGCGCATGTGTGTGACATCAGCAGCAAGGCAGAGACTTCTGTACATAGAACACATGCCAAATTCTCATGAACTTTCAGAAATGAAGTGTGGTTGTGAGGTTCCCCTTAGATGCATGGCTGCTTTCTGAAGAGGTGTCCAGTCCCTAGTGAGTAAAACCTTGGGTCCTTTTGTGGAGAAGTGGGAGGAACCCTCCCCAGGGAGAGACCTTTTAAAATATGTTCTTTTACTGCAGCAAATCCATTTGTCCAGCCATTGCCGTGTTCTTTGAATCACAATATTTGGCTCTTATGTACCAGGCCATGAAAAATGTTCATGACACTTTTCATGTAGACAAGGCCTTGGTTTTTCAAATGCACAAACTGAAAGGTGTCTGCAGGTTGAAATTTATATTCACTCATATTCAGCTTTTGAAATTTATATTCAGCTTTTGGATGAGTTTTTATTAGAATAAATTTGGATAGGATTTTTATTAGACATAATAATGTATTTCTGGTTAACCTCTTAATGAAACAGGACAATCTGCAAAAAAATATTTAAAAATAAAATTATAAAATATGATTTCTACAACTATGTCAGCCTGGTAATAATAAGTTGGATGGTTTGACGGCTTCTAATAGGTATCTACAAAGCATTAATTTGGATGTAACAAGAATAAGCTTGACCTGTTTTAAGGAGGTAATCAAATGTATATTGGCAGAATTTCAAAGTCAGTTGCTTACTTTAAACATTCTGCATGCAGTAATCCCAGCACTTGGGAGGCAGAGGCAGGCAGATCTCTGTGAGTTTGAGGTCCACAAAGTGAGTCCAGGACAGACAAAGCTGTCACACCGAGCAACCCAGTCTTGAAAAATTAAAAATCAAAAACAAAACAAGAAACCTTTCACATGCTTGGCCACTTGAGGACTGCTCTCTTATGTATAATTTAAAAAAATACAACTAAAATGCTTTAAATAGGCAGGCACCTCATTTCTGGCTGTTTTGTTTGAACATTTAAACATTTCATCAATATTTTAAAGGCCAAGGCTATGCCCTTTAAATAGGAAGTGCTTGAGATTGTTTATTAGAATAATTTTTCTTTCTTCAGCAAAAGAAAAAAAAATCCCCAGAGATTTCTAATTGCTATTCACTATTTCTCAGCATCTTTTCGTTCATGAAATATATTCAGTTTTTTTAAGCATCTTATTTTACAGATACTTGTTTGTCAAATGGCTGGTTGCTGTTAGCTCTGTCCTTTCAGAAGCAAATCATTCCTCTTCGTATTGCCCATTGAGTAACTAGTTGGTTTCACATGGCGTTCAACAAGTGGGGACTGGAAAGCAGGAAAGATGTGGTCCTTGCCCTTGACAGGCTTTCAACATCACTGCAGATATAGTCTATTTAAAGCAAAAATAACCTCAAAGCACCATAAAGCAACGGATAACTGATTCTGTGACCTCCTTGAGGGAAGTCAGATGCTTCATGTGCCTTAAGTAAAGATGGCTGCCACAGGCTGGGTTCGAGGACCAGTACGTAATTAGCAACTGAGGTTTTCCTATCACTCGGCAGGTGCTCACTCAACAATTTAACTTTTAACATGCAATGCTTCTCAGTAACTGATCTCTTTAAATTCACTTCTAGTAAAGTATACTATTAATGCAAAATAATGAGTTTCTTCGTACTTTTCCACGTGTGTATGAAGTGCGCTTTGATCATACCTGCATCTCACATCACCCTCCCGCTTTTCCCTTCTACTCCCCATATCTGTATTAAGATTTTAGCTATAACACTTTATGGAAGCATGGCAGTGACGTGATGTGCTTCACACTCTTAAATCTGCCATACGCTAAAGTTTTTTTCGTTATTATTATTATTTATTATAATTTATTCACTTTGTATCCCAGCTGTAGCCCTCTCCCTCATCTCCTTTCAATCTCACCCTCCTTTCTTTCCTTCCATGTCCCTCCCCTAGTCCACTGATAGGGGAGGTCCTCCTCCCCTTCTATCTGACCCTTTCCTATCAGATCTCATTAGGACTGTCTGGATCCTCTTTCTTTGTGGCCCAGCTAGGCCACCTTACCTAGGGGAGGTGATCAGAGAGCCAGCCACTGAGTAATGTCAGAGACAGTCCCTTTTCCCCTTACTAGGAAACCCACATGGAGACTGGGCTGCCATGGGCTATATCTGAGCAGGGGTCTAGGTCCTCTCCATGCATGGTCCTTGGTTGATTCATCAGTCTCTGCAGGTCCCCTTGAGCCCAGATTTTTTGGCTCTGTTGGTCTCCTTGTGGAGCTCCTATCTCCTCTAGGTCTTCTTATCTCTCCCTTCTTCATAAGATTCCCTGCACTCTACCCAAAGTTTGACTATGCATCTCAGTATCTCCTTCAATACTATGGTAGGTAGAGTCTTTCAGAGGCCCTCTGTGGAAGGCTCATGTCCTGTTCTGTTTTCTCCTATTTCCAATGTCTGTCCTGTTTTCCCTTCTGAATGAGGATTAAGCATCTTCCCTAGGGTCTTCCTCCTTGCATAGCTTCTTTGGTACTATAGATTTTAATATGTGTATCCTATATTATATGACTAATATCCACTTATAAGTGGGTATATACCATGAGTTCCTTTCTGTTTCTGGGTTACCGCAGGATGATATTTCCTAGTTCTAGGATCATGAAGTGAGTTTTCCTAGATGAGGCTGAGTTTCTTTTGACCATTTAAATGAAAGTGTTTTACATCTGTTTTTAAAAAATGGCCACGTGTATTTTAAAGGAACATCTTAGTCTGTGGTGTGTATTACTATGGACCACATTCAGACCACATTGAATGAGTGATGGTTGTGGAGTAGTGAGAAGTTCTGTTTCCTCTGTACTGATGTACTTGACGTACCATTCTCTGTTCTTTCCATGAGCTTTGCTTTCCCTTGATTCTCTCTAAATGGACTTTCACAAATTATTCATAGCTTCAAGAGTACTCTCTCTATCTCTCTCTCTCTCAGACTTGTGCTATGCTTTCCTGTCTGTGGGACATTTCTCTTTGAGTGTTCAATTGGAGAGGCAAACAACAAATTCAAAAGGGAATTTGAGATAATAGAATAGAGAGGACTTTCATCCAAACTGTGTGTATGATCTTGACATACCACTCGGCCCCTTGAGCCTTGTATGGGAAATGAGAAAAACAAATTGATAGGAGTAGACAAATTAATATGAAAATGCTTAGCTTTCAATGTTAGGGTGTTGTTTCCAGCATTTTCCTGTTAATCCAGGCTTCACAAATACTGAAGCCATCCTTAACTTCATTCTTTTGCTCACTTTGTGATATCCAATCACACACACTCGTTGTTATCCACGATCTTTAATCCAAGGCACCTGCCTGGACCCGCAGGGCCCAGCATAAAGCCTGCCAACAATGCAGGTGTCGACCAATCTGTAAGGCTCAAAGCGGTCTCAGACGATCCTTGCTAGCTCGCTTTTACTCAGAACACACCTTATTAAAGAGAAAGCCAAATGAATACCCTTGCCTGAAAGCTTTCAGTTTTCAATCTTTCTCCTCCGATGGAGGATTGAATATCTCTCAACTACTGTCACACTCTGATAAAACGGTGAGGCTGATTTATGTGCCCCCCTGTTGTGAGAGAATGACCAGGGGCTGAGATTTGCTTGTTCTGCTTCCTTTGCCAAAGATGAATGCCTTTGGGTCCCTCAGCCTTGCTTTATCCTTCACACACACACACACACACACACACACATGGACTGACCTAGGAGGTTGCCTGTCTGTCACTGCTGTGATTCCTGAGGACCCCTGGCCCTCTGGTAACATGCCCACTGAATAACAGGAACGTCTGTACAAAGCCTGGAGCACCAGCTCCTTTGGAGTGCAGGAAGTGAACTACTGAGAGTCAGGTCAACTTCTGACGTATTATTTAGAGGAGACTTGGGTAGCATGAACCCAGCAAATGGCCCTTTTATAGGAAGGGGCAGTGTCTCACCACAGACGTTCACCTGGATGGTTAGTGGGATCTTGGAACTTTGAGCAGACTTTGTGCTTGACTTTAACAGTTTATAGCTGTCTGCCTTAACAGATCCAAACTCTCCTGGATCAGCTAGAGTTGGGAGGCAGGAACTCTACCGCCGAACTATCAATGCCCCTACAGGATTAGCTAGACTCAGCAAGTTCCATTTTTTACTTCATGATAGAGAGTGTGCGCCGGCCCCTGTCTGTGAGAAAGCCAGGTCCTGTAAGCTAGGAGTTCAGTTACTGGGCTCACAGACCGCCCATCAAGAAGCTTCCTCTGTGGCTGTGACGGCTGTGGGGTAAATGTGTCCCACTTAGGATCACTTGCTTTCTCGATAAATTGTCTTTCAATCTCATCTTACTCTCTGCTCCGTTCAACTTTAAGACAAGATTGTAATTCCACATGAATGGCCAGATGAGGACAGCAGAGAGCCAGCCAGTCCTTGGCGGCTCCTTCTTGTGAGTTTCACAATGCAGCCACATCTTCCTCTTCTTGGTTCTCAGACTGCGTTTCTTCCTGGAGGATCTTCCCTAAGGCTTCAAGAAGTCTCCCTCTGCACGCCTCACCCCAGGCTTCTCTTCCGAGTCTTTATCCGTCTATCATTTGATATGTTTGTGGCTTTATACAATACTGTATATCTACTTCCTTTGGAACACAGGCCTTAGGGGAGAGAACAAAGACACTGTTCCTTTTACTGTGTGTCCTAGGTTCTTGGGATAGACACGGAGATAACGATGATTCTGACGAAGGCAGGGCTAGTGTGATGACGACCCAGGGCCTGATTCAGCATCCATTTGAGCCGTGGTACAGCCTGCTGGAGGCTTAGCTGCCAGGGTGGAGATAGACACTACTGCAGCTTTAACCACAGGTTTGGGGCCAGGTGCAGAGTAAGGTAAAAGTCCCTTTACATACTAGCAAGGGCATTTTAGAAAGCAACTGGCTATTCAAATCTGGGTACGACAGCGAAGTCTGCATAGAAATGGATAATTGCATATGAGTGCGTACACACACATATGCCTGCGCACATACGTTCCAGGTGAAATCACCTAAGGTGTGTGAAAACAAGAGGGCCATAGTCTGGTTCCTGAAGAAATACAAGCTTCCCAAGTCTATCAGAGGCCGGGGTGTAGCTCAGTGGCAAAGGGCTTCCCTGAATGCAGAAGGTCCTGTGTTCAATCCTTAACACCATTAAAAAAAAATTTTTTTAAGTAAAATAAATGAAAAAAAAATTTAAAGTATCATTTCAGAGAACCAGAAAAAAAAAAAAAAAAAAACTATTAAGGCCACAGTCAAGAGAAAAGTAGGCAGGAATATGTGATCACACCAGGCCAATAAAACAATCTTGGAATAAAGGACTAGTCAGTTAACACAACCTTTAAGAAGATGAACTAGATAATAGATAATAAAAAAAACATTTTTTACTGTGTTTCAAATTTTAGCATCTTTTATTGATTAAATATGCCGTTAGGAGCCAAAATACAGTTACCGTGATCTGATGAAGCATGCCTAGAAAAAAAAAAATCACAGAATAGGAGCTATGGCTTTTCGGATTCGCCCTTCAGCACCCTGAGGGGCTCTGTCGTGTTCTGTGTGTGTGTTGTGTCTCCACACAGGTTTAATTCCTGCTATGAGCTCATCCTCTCACGTTTCTGCACCTGGGACTTCAGAGCGTACGGCATCACGGGCGTGAAGGTCAAACGTGTCATCAAAGTTAACAACCGCATTCTGAGACTGAAATTTGAAGAGAAATTCCAAAAGTGTTTGGATCAAGAAGACGTACATGATTCGGAGTAAGCTCCCGCTCTGTGTCGGGTGGCCCGGAAGAAGCCTGCCTTTGTTTTGTTTTGTTTTGTTTTGTTTTGTTTTGTTTTGTTTTGTTTTGTTTTGTTTTGTTTTGTGAAGACTGCACCCTGCTGGTAAATCCTGAGCCTGCGTCTCCCATGTCTGAGATGCCTTCCTGGTCTGTTTGCACTAAGCTTCCTCTTGAGAGTGAGGTAGCAGCCCTGGGGTTTTAGTGACACCGGTATCTCCACCGCAAACAGGGGTACCCTCACCACAGGGTACGGTTCACTTACCAACGGTCACACTTCCGAGAAATCAACTCTCACCCTTTTTCTGTCTCCGTTATTCCCAAGGACCTATCAAAAGATGCTTGAGTGCCTTTTCTATGTTTTTGATCCTGAAATGACGGTAAAGAAAAAGGATCTGCTACAGATACTTGAAAGGGGATTCAGAGAATGCGAAGCCAACAAGGTAGTGTACCCCGTCCTGCTAGAAAGTAAGGTCTGCTTCTGATCCAGTGTATCTCCCACCCCACCCCACCCCCCACCCGCCCCATCCCTGCATCCGTGTTTAGAGCGAACTTCTGCTCCTGTTTCACTGGAAGCTTGGTGACATGGTAGACGGAAGGAATCTTAGAGACAAAAAGAACAGTATAGGAAGTCCACCATGCTGTTTGCCTGACTGGACCTTGTTCCTCTTGGAGCCCTGCTTCTATTGGTGACTTTGAAATCCCCTTCTTTAATTTGCTCTAAACTTAGAGCAAACTCCACCTGTTACAAATACTCCACTCGCTCGCTTCAGCCGTGCTTTCTAGCTGTCACCCAGCTTTCTTTTTCCTTTTTTCTGCCACAGTTTTTTTCCTCCCTTTCTACTTCTCTGTCCTCACCTTTCCACTGATGCTGCTTCACCACTGGGCCCCTGAGGGCCAACACAGCTAGCCCACTTTCTCCACGCTCCTGATGAGGCAGCTGTAGCCCACCATTACACAATCCAGTTCACGCCGTGACCCCCACTAAGGAGAGGACTGCTGTGTTTAAACCCTGGTGTTTTGCTTCCCCTGCATTCCGCCTGCTTCTTTTTTCTCTGTGTAGTGGCTTTGAACCCCTGACTTCCACGTCCGCTTCCCACGTGCTGGAGTGAAATGCATCCACCACCACACGTAGCTCATACAGTGCTGGGGATCAAATCCGGGGCAACGGAGCTGCATCCCCACCCCTGTGCCGGTTTCTTTCTACCCTGTAAAATGAAACTGATGGTGACATGCATTTTGCAATAGGACCTAGCTAAATAATGTCTTGAAATGTTCTTGGGTGTTCACATGGTAGTATTCATGCATCACTATTAAACATCCAAGGAGTAGAAATAACCCGAATGCACATCAATCAATAGATGAAAGGTTAGATTAAAAGCTACCATTCATTCTTAAAGAGAGCTACAAAGAGAAATGAAATTCTGCCATATGATTCCATATAGCATGGAATAACCATGAAATCACCACGTTAAGTGAAACAAGGCAAGGGTAAAATATTGTGTAAGTGCTTATAGAATTTGCGAAGCCAGGGGTGGAATAACGAGCAGAGATCACCAGGGCCTAGGGGAGGTGGAGAATGAAAAACATACTTTTTATATTATATTTCAGGTCAAGTTAATGAAAGATTTTGGCAATGAGCTCTTTCCCTATGCTGTGGGTTAAAGAGAGAGAGTGGAAAACACTGGCTAATCACTCCAAACTGTTAAGCACTGGCTTCATTAAGGAGCAGTCACTTGAGAATTGTTTTCACAGAACTCTCATTATGCTGAAGTACAGTGTTTGTAAACCTCTCTCTGCTAGTGCGTAACAGTAGGGACTATAGCTATGGACTAGATTCTGAATAAAATCTGGGGAATGAGTGGATGGTGGCCATAAGCAACCCCCACGTCTGCACCTTAGTATATCTGCTCCTCTGTCCCCTGAGGGCCAAGGAAGCTTCACAATGTCACCCACAGAGGCTGTAACTGAGTGAGGGATGCTCTCTGAGGGGTAGAAAGGTCACTTGCTGAAGCGTGCAATTTGTAATCACAGGAAGCACATTTTGTTTTGTTTTTTAAAAACTTCTTTGGGTAACTTTGAGTTTCAATTAGTTTCAAAAAGAAATAATTCTGAATGGGATATATACATAATATATATGGGATCTATACACATATTATGTATATTATATATTACGTATATATGCATATATGTTATAGATATGTATATATAATATATACATATATTATGCATATATACATATATGTACATGTACATATATACATATATATTGTATACATATATTATGTATGTACACACATATATATGATATATTATATACATATACATACATAATCCTAACTAATTTGGCTGCTAATTGAAAACCAATGATAAGTTTAAAACTCTGAGGTTGTGACAAGGACAAACAGATCTGAGTTCAGCTCGTGACTTTGCCACTTTCTACTCCCATCCTTGGCTGCTCATAGACACTCTCTCATAGCTCTAGTTTCCTTGCTCAGAATGATGATTCTGTTTGCCCTTTGTATGTTATTGATACAATATGGAAGAAGCGAAGTTAGTCACAACCAAAGCCGAGATGTCCATGCACAACTGGAAATGTTTGGTTTCCGGAAAGTGACGTAGACCGTATGGCACACACCCGCGATGAACAGATCCGTTGCCCACATAATACCACACCCCTACAGGGCCTTCCTTTTGGATTTAACAAGATTTTCCCACAAGTCTTGACCTGGGATGGTTTTCTGGGAACGATCCCAGAAAATACACAAAATGTGTATTTTGTTCCTTATCACTTTCTTGTAAAGACCTATTTGCATCCGAATTTTGAATACGTCAATGACTTTGCATCATGAAGCTGCTCCTGGAGGCTATCTCCTCAGCAGACACCAGGGCGTAAAATAATAGGCTGTCTGCGCTGAAGCAGGGCTGCTGCCCTCACATCATTGTTCTTCCGCTTTGCAGTCCCCTTTCAGGAAAGAAGCCGTTGCCCTCGTGAACAGTCTGAGCATGTGTGAGTGCCCCCGAATTGAGTTCCTCAAGCAGAAGTGTAAGGATGAGATGAAGAGCCCGCTTGATTGTGACCTCTTCAGACATGGTAACACAGATGGCTGGCGCTTCTCAAATTGCAAGTCCCTCAGTCACTCCGCCTCTTCCAGATCATTTTCATTCTTGGTCTTATCCATCAAAGAGATTCTGTCCAAACTGTCGTGTGAGGTTCTCACCAGTATACTGACACCATTATTGTTTCTAGGTTCAGCTGCACATTAATTTATTCCATTCAGCTGCACGCTCAGCTAATTCTCCTTGTGTAGGGTGGATCAGCCTTAGGAACGAGAGAGCCCTTGTTGCTCAAGATATTTCATCCAACTTAACACATGCCTTTCAGAGTCCGCTTTTGCTCATGTCATGTTGTGTCCTAAGAATAAACTGAGAAGTATGCACGTGTATATTTTCACATGCACTAACTTCACAAGAAAGAGAAAAGAACTGGCTTGAAATAATCCGTTAGAGCAGCCAGGGAGGTTGGATGTATTTGTTCTGAGCCATCACGACGGAAGGTGGGAAGGAAACCTGTTTGAACTGTCAGCAGGATACAAGCTGGGAAGCTTGAGGGTTAGACACTGTCCTACAGAAGGCAAGCTGCGTGTTAATGTATCCAGTAGCTAAATACCATCCTTCCAGCTTAGAGGTGTCAGTATAAGTACAAGAACCAACCTGTAAGACACCCATGGAACAGTATACTTACAGGCTGAGGGAAATGGTCAGCTCACCATGCCTGCTCTTCCCTCCCCATCCACTCTTCATTCCTCAGTTCCTCGTGTACTGATTAAATGCTTATTGAGTGTTGGGCACTGTTTGGTTTGTGGAAGAGAGTTTCTCCTACATAGTGCCTACAAATACCAATAACCACACAGTTAAATTAGTTAAATATAAATCACAGTTACTACCATAAGCATAAATATGAAGTACGAATGCATACAATGAAGAGAATAATCAGGCTGCGGATTAGGGTGCCTATTCAATTACCTTATCAACTTACTGAGCACTGGGCAGGCAGATCTTCAGTTTGTCCTCAGCCAGGACACCTGCTGTGGTAGGAGAATGCATGCCTGGCATGCCCAAAGCCTCGGGCTGAAGGCCTGGCCAAGCAGCACTCAAGCATGTACCGCTTCTTCCAGAATAGCGTTGCAGGATCCAGACCACACTTCTGCTGGGATGGTTCATGGCAAGTGTAAGCTATGCGTCGCTTACAACCTTTGTGTAGTTAAATACCACCAGAAACCGAGCTAATTGCTAAGCCAGGGGAAAAAAAATCAGCCTCGTGCTTTTTAAACTGTTCCTTTCCATTGCCATTATTACAAACCCTCATATTTACTATGTTCTGAAATCTGCTTCCTAAAATAGGTTTGCCTGATTGTCATTTCATATCTTGTGTATAGTGGAAGTAGAGAATCAGGACTAGAGAGACGGCTTAATGGGGGAAGCCCTGCTGCCGGTCCAGAGGACCATCGTGCAGTGCCAGCCTCCACATGGGCGGTTCATGACCACCTCGAAACTCCAGTTTTAGGGGTTCCAACACCCTCTTCCGGACCCCACAGGCACTGATCTCATGTGCACAAACCCGCACTCAGGCACACGTACACATACATAAATAAAAACAAAATACTGAAAAATAATCATTAGTTATATGTGATGATTAGAGTTTTTTCAGCTTTTCTGACTCATTGGAATCTTCAGGAGTCAGCAGATGATAAGGCTCTCAAGAATCTGTGAAGAAAGAAATGCCCTTCCATTCAGTAGATATATATATATTTAGTACCTGTTAGATCTCAGGTGGAGGAGATGCCAAGATGTCTCAGCAGGTACCTGAGTTCAGTCCCTGGGACCTACAGAATAGAAGAGAACACACAAACACACACACACACACACACACACACACACACGAATGCACACACTCACACACACACCAGAGGCATTGCTAAATTACTGTGTTCATTCCTAGTCTCCTTATAGTTTTATTTGTTTGTTTATGGGGGTTCTTTTCTATCCAATATTCCAGTAGTCTGTATGTAGCTACAGCTCAGTATGTAGTGGAAGTCTGGTCTAAAAGTTGTAAGGATCCTGCTTCTGCCACCTAAGTGCCGGGATTCTAAGTGTGAGCCAGCATGCCCAGCCCTTAAAATTTGTTCACTGCGATTACCGTATTTCTTTTAGGACCAGTAAATCTCTTCAACAGATATGTCCTACCTCTTATTTTGAATCAAGTTATGTGTTGAGCTCTATACAGTAGCAAGAAAGAGAGCCATGGCCTCTGCCTTTACAGAGCACTGAGGGTAATAAACATTATGTTGGAAATCTGTTAAGACCATATTTGTTAAAATCACCTCTGTTTTGTTTTGTTTTGTTTTTTCATATTTAGGCACCATCATCATTGCAAAGGTTTTTCTTGGCCAGAGTGTCCAGGCTCGTGACGAGGAGCCCATCAGTAAAGCCAACTATCCCATGGTCAACTCTGTGTTCATTCCTCAGAGGCACGTCTTAAGTATGTCTGCTGGAAAGAAAACATGCCATTTCTTACCCTCAATGCAAAACATCCCCACCTACTACAACACTTATAGCTAATGGTCTAACCTCTACCTAACCAGACCTATAAACTTCTCTATGAAAACCTACTTCTGAATGTTAATGACTTTTCTGTTATTCATATCAATGGTATATGTACGTACTTTATTTCACCAGTTAACTATTATTTATGGGAGGGGTGTATTTGTATATACTAACCTACACACTTAACTCTCAGTATCTGTGGGGAATTGTTTTTAGAGTACACACACACACACACACACACACACACACACACACACCTATAGATATCAAACTTCCCGGATTCCCAAGTCCTTTATATTAAATAGCATGGCATCCACATGGCATCTACACGTCTTTCCCGGTACATGACACCATCTCCATATTGCTTTAAGACCTAATGTACTAACAATGAAATGCTCAAAATGATAGATGTATTTATTGTTTCAGGAACAGTGACAAGAAAAATCTGTACATGTTAAATTAGTTAAATATAGTTACAGTTACTACAGACATTTCACTACAGACATTTTTCTTAAAAAAAAGAAAAACCCACCTTCTGCTCTGCAGAAGCCATGGGAATGGAGGGTTTCATGTGTGAGTGTGTACTTACAAACGTATCAATGTATTGGTTTCCAAATGATTTTAAAAAGAACCTTATTAAAGCTCTTAGAGCACTCAATCTATCCAGACTCCACGGCGATTTATTCACTGGTAAAATGAAAAGAGAAGAGGAAAATGGTGAGCCTAAGAGTCAAGCCTGCTCTGCAGGGACAGGGGCTGTGACTGTCCTGACATCCGGGTCAGGGCACAGGAAGCTTTTTATGGTTGTGGGAAGTTGTTAGGAAGGGTTTGCGGTTACTTCATCTATGTTGGAGTAATAAAGGTTTACTGTATTTTGTGTTTTTGTCTTGTTTGATTTTGTTTGTTTGTTTGTTTACTCTAGATTCTATGATAGGACAAAGAAATTGCGATTGCAGCTTTCGGCAGTACAAGTGGTTTGTCTTTGACCATGACCTTGTTTTGCCAGAGTACATTGTTGAATTTGAGTATACCACAATGGTATGCATTGTTTTACAACTTTTAAAAACAACGAATGTCTTAACTTGGAGTGGAATAACTTGAAATCCAGTAATGTTATGTCCAGCTTGTAATTATATACGCTTATTGGTACTGTGCGTGCATGTGTGTGCAGGTACAATGGCTGTTCTGTGAAGGAATGAACTTTCAAAGCATGGCATCGTGGCATCTGAATGCATTTATTATGTGAGCACCTCATAAGATTATACAGCTGCAGTCTCCCTGGGAAAGAGTCAAAGCCTATGGATGCCTATAGAATGAACCTGGAAAGCTACCACCATCGTAACCTCCCGCCCCTAGCTTTTACCGATGCGCCCACCTAAGAGTTTTGTGGGTTTGTTTTCAATCCTTTCCTAGTGACACAAATGACAACACACACAGCCTTAGCTAGCAGAATCAAGCTCCAAGTCCTGCTTTTCACACTACATTGTGAACATATTTTGTTTCGCTGCACAGAGATGTATAATTTCTGCTTTCTGTGGCTGTATACTATTTGGAAAAACTGATTAAGTTCTCCTGTGCTGGTAACAATTACAGGTTGTACGTAGTTTTAACGATTTAAAATACTATCTGAGTGAACATTATTATAAAGGTGTCTATATGACCATAAATGTTCCCATGCAAGAGAGAGCTATAGAGAAAATTAGAAAGTCCACAAATAAATGCATTTTTCATTTTGGCATTATCCGTTTCTTTCACAAAGGTTTGGCCATTTTACGTGTTTCCAGCAGAGAGTGGTAGGCCTTGTTTATTTAAATGCTGTGTGTGTGTGTGTGTGTGTGTGTGTGTGTGTGTGTGTGTGTGTGTGTATGTGTGACCTTACCTTGCCAGCATGGTACACTTATCAATTTTTTTCCATTCCCTTAAGCAAAATGCAAAATATTCCAAATTTCATATGCTTAGAATTACAACATTACAAGTTACAGTTATATTCTTGGATTACTTCTATAAAACTTTTTTTTCATGCTGGTTTTTTAAATTATGTATTGTGGATATTAATACTTTATTTCATAGTGCAATTATTTTCTTTTAATTTTAATTGTAACAAAAGTTACCATTTTAATGTGTAACTTATACATTTCATCTCTCTCAATCTTTCCCAGTGTGGATTCTGAATTCTACATCTCTTTTCAAAAGTCTTATAATAAATATTGTTTTTTTTTTTCAATACTTATTTAGCTTATTTTGAAACTTTCAGATTTTTAAATTACATTATGTGAATTGGGGATTAATCCATTTGTTTTATTGGATACTATTTACTCATCCTTTTTGCTGTGTTTTGAAATACTATCTTTCTTCTTAAAATTATTTTAACATTTAAGGAAGCTATGTATAAATTCCTAGTCTGTTCCACTGAGTGATTTGTCTAGCTTTGGGTTCTGACCACATTTGTTTTGCTTAAATACAATCTTAATAATGTGTCTTAATATATAATAGGATAAATTCTCTTGCCCCATCTTTTAAAAAAACTGTCCTCATCTATTCTTGAACATTTTTATTCCTAAAAAAATTAGAATCTGCTCATCAGTTTCTAATTAAAAACCTTGTAAGAAATTCTTGAGTGATTTTTCTCAAACTCTATAATCAGTTTACCAGTTCTGTTTTAAAATTCCCACTAAGGTTTGATTGAAATGTTATTGAATTTGAAACTTCATTTAGGGTGAATTGTTTGTGGGTTTGGGGTGTGTGCGTGATATGCATGTCTAGTTTGTGCACATGAATGTGAGGCCAGCACAGGACATCATCAGGTGTCTTCTTCTATTAAATCCACCTTATTGCTTTGAGACAGGATCTCTCCCTGAACCAGAAACTCACTCACCATTTGAGCTAGCTCCTGGGTACCCCTGTCCCAGCCTCCCAGTGCTGGCGTTGCAGGCATACGTAGCCACGCTCAGCTTTTTTACAGTGTGCTGGGTATTTTAACTCAGGTTCCTGAGCAAAGCAAGTGCTCTTACCCAATGAACTATTTCTTGTCTAGCATCATAATGTCTTACTTCATTTATTCGAGTATGACCTCATACTTTCCTCTACATACAGTTCTTTAATATTTTTGCATAAAGCATAATCCTGAGCTTTGCTTTTCTTTTCTTTTTTTTTTTTTACCATTCTTATAATGGTAAAAAAAGCTCAGATATAACAAAGAAGCCAACAGGAGGGCAGTCCAGACAGTTTAGTGATGACAGCCAGACATCATGCTTACTGTTCACCATCCTGAGCTCTTTAAATTTGATGGTTTAGTTTATCTTCCCTTCTGGGAAGTTTTCTTCTCTTAGTTCCTTCAATTACTCTTTTCAGCTCTCCATTAAGTCTTTTGAAATCCATACTGGGGTTGGGGGGTCTGAACTGATGTTTAAAGGTTGTGGAAATTACTTTCTTTCTTTCTTTTCTTATATTGCATCTCTTAATTGTTTGCTCTTGAATATTTCTTCCAGAAATATACTGGCTTCCAGGATCAGGATGATAATTTAATCTGCGGTTACATTCATTTGGCTTCTTAGTACTTATTAAACATTTTTATTTTAGTAGTTTTTATATTTATGATAGTATTTATCCTATTCTTTTCTATAGTGTCTTATATTTTATTGAAGATTCCGTATTCTCCCAGATTAAAATTTTTTCCTCTGGTTAATTATTTTGTTTTCTTCTAGGGTCAGTTCCTTTTGTACTCATTCATTCATTCACAGTTCCTGCTATAGTTACTTTTCACCTGATAACTACAAAGGGTAGGCTTCTGCTTTTATCTATTTACTCCAAACATCAGACTTCTTTGAATCTGGTCTTAAATGTTATCACCTGCATATGTGTTTGTTTGTTTGTTTGTTTGTTTGTTTTTGTAGAAGTCACATTTCCACTCTTACATGCCACCTCAATCCCTTCTGCTCTATGTCTGATAATTTCTAGACCCTTGTTTCTGTTCTATGTCATAAAATATTTTAAATATATTTCTTGCCAGTTTTGAAAAATCTTTATGGGTGAGAATAGGCTCATTCATGCATAGCTCACAATCTGAATATATACTTAATAAAGTTGTTTTTATTATTCTAGATATAGTTTCATAACTGCAAAAGTCAATTATTTTCTATATAGCCTATTTGATTTTCAAAATAACAAATTTCAAAATAACAAATAACTGAATTTTTTATTTGAATTTGAATTATGTTTTAGGTCAAAGTTCACTCTTTATTTTCTACCTTAAACAACGTTATTCTAGAAGATGGCAAAAAATATTCTGAAGGATCAGTGCTATCACAAGATTTGAAATTTGATGAAGAAGTTCTGAAGATGGAGCCCAGGATTAAGCCCCGCTCAAAACTCATTAGTTTGGATGATAAGACTATCATTTCCCTTGCTAAGACTAACATTTACAGCCATATTGTGGTGAGTATTGTGGGAATAAAACTGGAAAGAGGAAACTTGAACTTGAAATTTGAATCTAGTATGTGGAGTCTAAAGTTACTGCCTGATGTTGCCAAGAATCATATAATTTGATTGAAAAGCACCCAGTCCCTTCTTTGTATGTAGCCTAGACCAGTGTTCTCCAGTGAGAACCAGGTGAGGACCACATCTGTAATTCTGAGTCTTCCAATCACTTTTTCACAGTTTTGTTAAGGCAAAACTCATTTTAATGATACGCTTTACTTAACCCAAACATGTAAAATATTTCAACATTCAATCATTAAGATAATTAAGAAGACATATTAGCATAAGTCTTAATTTTAGAGTGTACTGTCTACCGATGTCATGTCTTAATTCACTCTAGCCATGTGTTGGGTGTTCAATAGTCACTTGAGGTTATCTCCATGCATGGTCCTTGGTTAGAATATGAGTCTCTGGAAAGACCCCTGTGTTCAAATTTTTTGGTTCTGTTGCTCTCCTTGTGGAGTTCCTGTCCTCTCCAGATCTTACTATTTCTCACTTCTTTCATAAGATTCCCTGCACTCTGCCCAACAGTTGGCCATAAGTCTCAGCGTCTGCTTTGATAGTATGCAGGGCAGAGCCTTTCAGAGGCCCTCTGTGGCAGGTTCCTAACTTGTTTCCTGTTTTCTTCTTCTTCTGATGTCCATCCTCTTTGCCTTTCGGGATGGGGATTGAGCATATTAGTCAGAGTCCTCCCTCTTGGTTAGTTTCTTTAGGTGTACAGATTTTAGTTTGAAGTGGCTTTCCAGTAAGCAAGCAATTTTATTCTGAATGATCATTAATTTCTCTTTAAATGATTAAGGTGAAAGCAAAAAGCTCCAAGTCCATTTCTAGTATTAATAATCAGGTATATGGGTTTTATTTTTATCAATGTATCAACAGAATTTGAACTACTCATTTGAGTGACATATTATACCCTGGTTAGAGTGATATATTGTACAAGAGTCAGCTCTACTTGAGATAGTAACCTACCTGCATCTCTGACTTTAAGACTTGCCAGTTCAGATGTGCTGCTACCACAATTTCCAAACTGCCATCATCTCTGACCTACACTACTGTCATAGCCTCCTAACCAGGGCTCCTTTACCTACCAGGACAGTTCTGAAACTCCAGAAACTCACATTGTAATTTGCTAATCAACATATAACTAAATAAAATTCAGGGCGGGAAAGGTGGCTCAGCCAGCCAGGCACTTGCCACCAAGCCTGATGACTCTTGTTCGATCTCCCAGACCCACATATGGAAGAACAGAACCAGAGGAAGCACAGTCTTCCTTGAAAATAACTAAGAGTATGGATAGGTAATCCAGAGGGCAACAAAGCCCAGACCTCATGTCCACTCCACTCAAGATCTTCTCAAGATGCACATCTGACCGTCTGACCAGTCCCCCCTCAGACAATCCTACTTAAGCTCCTCAATGTGTTAACGTTCCTAACACATTGTAGCGTTCTACCGTAGCGTTCCTACAGTAGACACAGAGGTATCTTAGGAAAGGATGGATATGGCTTCTTAAATTACCCATAAGAACTCCATGGATGACCATCAACTCCAATACACAACACAGTGTGAGGGACACACTAGATGTTCTTTAGTTACTAGTTCAAAATGTGTGTGTGTGTGTGTGTGTGTGTGTGTGTGTGTGTGTGTGTGCACGCACATAAGCCAGAGACACTGGGTTGCTGCTTGAACTTCCAGGAGTAGTAGGTGGATGTACCTTGAGAAACCAGGTTTTTCTTTCCCTACGTAGCATTATCCCACTGTAGGCACTATGAGTGCTAAAACACAGATAAAGATGCAGAAATGACTTCGATCTTTGAACTTAATTACATGACTGCCATGACATGTCTCTAGATTCATTGTTCAAGAAGAAAACCCTAAAGTGACAGCTCCAAGTTGAAAAGGAGGGAATCTGGCAGTTCTATTCCCAAAATGACTAATTTCAGAATACATGTCTCTCAGACTGTTAGGAAACTGTGTTCATGTTCATTGTGCCACCGTCCGCTGGACCTTTAAATATAGTTGAGGTTAAGTGGGTTTCTACTGGTTATCACTTCAGGGGCTTTCATCATCTACTGTGTTGTCAAATCGCAGAATGGTAATTACGGAAGTGGCCTTCTCAGTCAACGTGTTGAGAAAACTATCTTGAACTACAATGCTGAGATTTCCATGAGAGTGGTGCATTTTTATGATAAAGTTTAGTAACGAAAAGTTTCTAAAAAGACGAATGCACCTGGCTGGACTGAGCCCCTGCAGCGTGGCTCTCTACACTTAAAGGGATTAAATAAACACCAAGAAAACAGAAAGCGGCTGCTGTAAATGAAAAACAGAAAATAGGAGCAAATAAACTTGATAGCATGTGGCCTGCTGGGGATTTCTTTGCATTTGATTGACATTTGTAACAAATATGGATAGGCTTTTTAGCTTTGAATTTAACCATACTGCACAAAACCAGTAATTTCTGGGGCTTCTAAAAAGAGTCCTCACTATCATAGTAAGAATTTCTAGACATTTTGTCTTTTCTGTCCTTTTGGGGTATGTGCCAATACAAAAAAAAAAAAAAAATCAGAGTGCATTTTCCTGTTAATCTACTAATTTTATTATCATCAGAAAACTAAATAAAATTTATAAAAATAAACTTAAATATACCCCTATAACTTATGACACTGAATTATATATTTTTTAGTGGACAGTCAAGTGCCAAAATTAGAGCTGTCTGTTGTAAACCTGGCTTTTATATTTACTTTTTCACCTACAGTTTGCTCTGAATTGGCTATACCTAAATCAGTGAATTAACCATTAGTTACTTGTTCTAGTTAGAGTTCTGTTGTTTTGACAAACACTATAACCAAAAGCCACCTGGGAAGAAACAGTTAATTTCCACTTACAGCTTTACAGTCCAACCTGAAGAAGCCGTGACAGGAAGCTGGAGGCAAGAGCTGATGCAGAAGCCATGAAGGAGTGCTGCCTACTGGCTTGCTCTCCATGACTCACTTAGCCACTTTCTTACACCGCCCAGAACGACCAGTTCAGGGTGGTCCCCTCTGCCCTGGAAATGACATGGGCCCTCTTACATCAATAATTAATCAAGAAAACACTTCATAGACCTGCCTACAGGCAATCTGATGGAAGCATTTTTCCCAACTGAGGTTCCTTTTTCCAGATAACTCCAGTGTGTGTCAAATTGACAAAAAGTAACCTGGACAGTATTAAAAATTAATAAGCTATTTTCCATACCTCAACAACATCAGTCTAGTTTAGTGAATATGTATATAAGCGAATGTAGGAAGGTGGGAATCCTGGGACAGCTTTTAGAGATGAGTTGAATGTGCATTGTTTAAGGATATGAGAAATCCACTTGTTTATAGCTATCAGACTTTCTTACAGGAACATAGTTTTAAAAGATGCTTGTATCTGTGGGAACACTGGGAGCTTCGTTCTGACTCAAATACAGTGTTTGTGACGGTGGAAGACAAATATGTATGTCGGAATTCAAGAAAGATGAATGAACCCGAGGCATAAAATTTAGGAGGCTGGAGCCACGTTAAGATGAGTTTTGAAAGCCAAATTCAGAAGTTTTTAGTTTTCAAGGAACAGAATCTTTCTTCTAAAGGTCCTAACTTCTGTTTCTTGTGGGCAAACTTAACGGCAGTCAGGCTGGTGGTCTAAAGATCCAGTAGGAACTGTAGGAGTGGGCCAAAGAGGCATCATTCAGTCTGAGGCACTGGTGTGGGTGAAGACATGAACGGCTGGCATGAGAAATATTTCTATAGTCAAATCTATATGGAAAAGAAGGGAAGGGGTGCTCAGTAATGGTGACTCTCCTAAGCCAGGCAGACTTAAAAAAAAAAAAGATGATGAATTCCATTGTTGATAAATTAACTATGATGCATCTATACCCTCTATCATTGACTTTCAGAAAAGTGTGCACAAACCTCACCTTTCATCCCAAGGTTAGCTTATTTTTAATGCTATTAGGAATGCAGTTGCTTCTCCCCGTGAGGAACTCAGTTGTCCCCACAATGTGTGACCACGGCTGACATCATTCCACAATGTCACTTGTGACTACTGTGGTTGTACTGGACACTTTCCTGTGCCGTTGCTCACTTTGTAGTCTATCCTTAAATACCTCTTCGCTTTAAGCCACTCATAACAGTGACCCCTGAAGACAGAGAAGCCTTCAGGCACCATGAGCAGTTCTAAACATAAAACTGGAGTAACATTTGTTCTGTGCATCTGAGGATGAGATGAAGAGGGGAGGGCTGGACCAACCTCTGATGTAGACATGGTCTTAGATGTCCCCTCATCTCCTTCTCTCATGTTCTGTCTGCCTGTTTCAAGACCCTCAGATGCTCTCCCTTGGTCCAGTGGCTCGGTCATGGTGCACATTTGTCACCTCTTTCCTGTGAGGTTTTCTGTCTAATGTCTAAAATTGTGTGAGCCTCCGTCGTTCACTGGCTAGCCTGAGAATCAGGTCTTCCCTAACAAATACCCTAACCAATATATTTATTCACTAAAAAGAATTTCTTGCTAGTTATTAACAAACTTAGAGCAAGTAGGAAGTCATTTGATCACATACCAGGCCCTGTCGTGTTGCTACAAACTATTTTTAGCTTTCAGCATGACATAGCATATCTACTAGGCATTCTCTGAAGGTTATTCAAAACTGCCATGGTCTCATGTTTGCGTTGTTGTAGGTGCTTTACTTATTCTACACTTGATCTTACCCAAATGGCCAAAAAGCATTGATAGTTATTCTGAATATGTTAGACAGTAACGCCTAGACTGTGTCACACGAAGTAATGTATTTTATTTTTCAATTTACATTTTATTTTGCTTCCAGAATCTGAATCTGCATGGGAACAGCTTGAGTAGACTGAGAGAGCTTTCCAAGTTGACTGGACTCCGAAAGCTGAACATTAGCTTTAATGAGTTTACTTGCTTAGATGATGTGTACCATTTGGTAAGAGCTCCTGACATGTAAATACAAACCCAAACACACAGAAGTAGGGTGACAGCCTGGACCTAGAGGAGGAGAAAGTGTTGGTCAAAAGAGAGAACTGTTCAGTTATGAGATGAATGTGTTCTAGGGACTCTAATGCGTGGTATGAGGGGTCACTGTGTTAATTAGAAGGTCTTATTGTTTACAGCGAAATGAAATTAAGATATATTAAAGTAAACAATGCAAATGTAAGGGTTAGAGCCTCTTAAGGAGCCCTCACAGAAAGAGGGGTGTTTGCTATCTAGGGCCAAAGCCCCACTGTGCTGCTCCCCCTACCCGTCCTCTCACTGCCCTTTTCCCAAGTATACTGTCATTGAGGTGTACTTCCTATTACAATCATTTGGCTTTACCATTTTAAGAAAGGTTCATTTTTATTGTTGGCAATCAGTTATTTTATTTCTAATAATCTATCATTATTTCAGAGACAGTGTACAAACAGTCTAGGAAAATAGAAAGCATGTTATCTCGTTGTAGAAATCCCATCTTTATACCTTTTAAGTTTCTTTTAAAGATTTTTCTGTGTATCCTGTATCATTCCCCATTGTTCATCTGGAAAAATTTCAGTTCTAAGAAGTCGCAGCGTAGAAGCTGTCTGTTGCACTGTTGACAACAATTAGAAATGTAAAACATCCTAGTGTAATGCTTAAGACAATTAGAAATAGCAATGGTCTAAATATTATGACATGCAGTTATGAAAATTTATTTTGGATAATACAAAATGATATGTGAAAATCTTAAATACATACAAAATGATAGTGAAGTATATACATGCAAATAAAAAAATTTCAGTTCTTCGTAGCAATAGATTTACAAATGTTTTCCAGTTATTTATTTATTTATTAATTTTTCAAACGTTCAATAGATATGTTAATTTTATTATTAAAAACTTGTTTAAAGCCGTTCACATTTTTTAATATAGTGTTGGGGGTTGAGCTCAGGGCCTTTCACATACTAAGTAAACACTCCACCTTGGACCCTCCTTTTCACTTCTTATTTCAGACAGGTTCTCAACAAATTTCCTCTGTTAGCCCTGAGTGTCCTCTGCAGAGCGCTGGGGCCTTGAACTTCTTATCTTCCTGCCTTGCCACCCAAGGAGCAGAATCATGGGCCTATACCATTAGGCCCAGCTTTAGAAAATTGCATCTCTGAAATAGAAAATTACAGAATAAAATTAAAATTGTCTCTTAAGATGTACTCTATAAGTGAAGCCATTTCAACAATATAACCAGATGCCTAGGTGTAAAGACATATGGGGTTTTGTTTTGTGTTGTTTTGTTTTGTTGTGGCCAACAAAGTTTAGCTTGCAAGTCGCTGTCTGCCTGCCCTCTTGCAAACAAGACCCAGCGGCTCTGTGTTCAGAGAGGTCAGAGAACCTATGCTCGTCTCTAAGGAGGATTTGCTTTGTGTGTGTGTGTGTGTGTGTGACGGAGATGTTGATTCCCTCACTGTCAAAGCTGCAGTCGAACTGAACAGCTAACTCATCCACGGCCCCTGTCTTCTCCCAAATTCATAATCCGCCCTGGGGGTCTTTCATGCTCCATGAGTAAAGGCTGAACTGAGAATGACTGGAATGGCTACCCCAGTGTGTTGCCACCACTTTGGCAGCGTGACTCTGGCGTAGGTTTTCTGTGAGTGTTAAAAATAGTAATAATAATGTGTGATGTGTTTAAAGAAGCGAAGAGAAGCACTCGGTAAACACAAACCCTGAGTCAGCCTCGCTCCTGTTTGTATGTGCCGCAGTACAACCTTGAGTATTTGGACGCCAGTCACAACCACGTGATAACGCTCGAGGGATTCAGGGGCCTGATGAAACTGAAGCACTTGGACCTGAGCTGGAACCAGCTGAAGAAGACCGGCGATGAGATCAACGTGCTGTGCAAGCACACCACCAGCCTCCTCACCCTCGACATCCAGCACAACCCCTGGCAAAAGGTATGCAGCCGCGGGCGCACTCTCTGCCACGCCGGCCGCTCGGTGGTAGCCAGGACAGGCTCCTTCCTGTGCTTCCGTTAGTCCCTGATGGGCGTGTTTGGAGTGGCGGTCTAATGACTCACACGTTCCTGTAAGAAAAGGCTGTGCTGTCATGCCAGATAGCCTGTAACCTGTGACAGTTCGAAAGCATTCTTGCCATTTGCAAATTTGCAGAGAATTCCTATGTTGGTGTGTTAGAATGTTTTTACAATGACGCAGGAGCCAAGACTAAAATGATACAGTGAGGGAAGCATACCTTTAAGAAGGGAACAGCATTCTAAACTCTGGATAATAAACATATGGGTTTACTTTGCAATCTCCGTTACTTATTCTCTCTAAAATGTACAGATCATGTATCTTCATAAACTTGAATCATAAAATCAAACTGTTATAGAAGGAGATTTGAATATTTTTAAATTATTATTCATGTTAATAATATGACTGAGGCTAATGCCAATTACGTTAAATGAGTCCCAATTTATACTTTTAAGAACCTTCTTCATGTCTTCTAAAATGTTCATGGAGCCAGGTTCTGCACTTGAGAAGCAGAAGCAAGAAGGTTGCGAATTCAAGGCCAACCTAGGTTCTGTAGTGAGACTACATCTCAAGAATAAATAGTTAAATAACATTGTAAGACTGTCTTTATTGTGTTAAAAGTCCTAGTAAAATGACTGGTTCAATTAAGTGTACCATATCACTAAATTTATACCATTAAATTTGTTCTTTTAAGCTAAGTAAAACAATAACAATTTGGTTTGGTGTGGTCTGGTTTTTTGCCAAAGCAGACTTCTCAAATGGTCACTATCTCCCTGTAGTCAAGTTGGACGTCAGAAAGAGGAGACCCATTCTGAGTCCAGCACAAGCTCCCTGGCTTACTGTCCATTCCATAAGCAAGAATCACCACTGTGGTTCCCATAATCCTTTTCACCAGACACTTTCCAATAGCGCCTGGGATCTCCCTGCCAGAGCGGTACACTCACACTTTGAAAAAGAAAGATTTGTCTTTACATAATTTAATTCCAACTATTATTTAGGAAAGTAAATTAAGTCTTTAGTTTTGGAAATATAACAAGAAAAGAGAGGTACAGTTTTCAGTTATGTGGAAAGAAAGGAAGAGCTACTTTCCCCTATCATAACACATGTGATGTTTTATGAAAATTAACTTTTTGATATTTTTTCCCAAGCCAGCCACATTGAGGCTGAGTGTTATTGGCAGACTAAAGACGCTCACGCACTTAGATGGACTCCTCATCTCTGAAGAAGAAACCAGAGCAGCTCTGAAGTTCATTAGTGGAACAAAGATTACTCAGGTTGGAGGCCATAGGCTACTATTCCCTGTGTTAGGTGGAAAAATACAAATAATACTCTTCATGCTCTTTTTCTTTCATTAAGTATGGTATTCTCTCCAGCACATCGTTAAAAATCAGCATACACTGATCTTACCACTTGCCAGTGTTTCTGCTTCAATGTACCTCCCATACTCACCCCCCATAAATGCCCACGGGCCTTATGAATTCTCTTGGAACAGCCCCAAATGTCACCACCACCACCCCACTATCTCTAGGGTGACTTTTTTTCTACTCACGTGAACTTACTGAGTCCTTTCTAGAGGCTGGGAGAAAACAAGCAGTATTTGTGTACAGAGTAAGGTTAGGAGGCTTTGAGAGAGCATTTAGCACCGGATCGACTTAGACTCGGTATTATATATACCTGGCTAAATACAAAGCTAACATGTCAGCCTGTGGGGACAGAAACACCTACGTTATACAGACAGAGAACCCTGCACTTTGGGTATCGGGGATGTAGATTAGTGGCAAGCACTCAGCTTGGGTTAGAGCCTGGGTTTGATCCCAACACTCAGAAATAGTTCTATCTCAATCTCTTTTTTTTCTTTCTTTTTTTTCTTTTTCTTTATTCTCTTATACAATACAACTGAAGGCACCTTCTTCTCCCTCTCTTTTTCCCAGTCTCCTTACCCCCCAAGTCTCCTCTATCCCATATCCTGGGATACTTGAATGTTAATTCCTTAAACGACATAACAATTGGTTTTTGATCTAATCAAAATGAAGGGAAGAAAACATTTGTTGATAAAAAAATATAATTAATGTATTAAGAAAGACTTAGAGATTTGTACCAATAGAAATAGAGAACTAAAATGTTTAAGCTGTGATACTGGTACCAAATTAGAAGACAGACAACAGCCCAGAACAAAGACTCAACAGAGACCCGAACCTCTGGGAGAGCTTGATAGACAAACAGATCCGCCTTTGCAGAACGAAGCAGCCGTTCAGTTCAAAGTGCTTGGGCAAATGCATTAAGACTTCACTGGAAGCATCATTTTTTGATTCGTTAGAAAGTAAGATCATTTAGGAGATCAGAATCAGCCTCATGGGGGCAAGATGGCGGCGCCAGGAGGACTCTCATTCTGAGGAGCAGCACAGCAGGATTGGCACAGTGACCAGCAATCAGAACTCACGGCCATAAAACACAAGTGATTGTGTTTCACAGGTGAGAGGATACCCCACGGTGGGGGATTCAATCAGCTTTAACTCACCCGGCTAAACTGCGGAAGAGATCCCGGTTCCACCAAGCGCTTGGTCGTCAGCCCGGGGCTATACGCCAGCGCGATCTGGTCACGGTCCCAGACTGAACTGTGGGCCCACAGCACCATAGACTGGATTTCCCAGTCAAGAGATAACCCCACGGAGCAGGAAACAATTGGGACCGACCCCAGGTTACCCAGACATCCCCTGGAAAAGACTCGGGTTCCGTGGTACCCCAAGAGCCAGCGCGGACCCAGAGCCGGGACACAGGCGCCTGCAGGGAGCCCTGCCTGCGCGCCTGATTCACCGCCTCAGATAGAACTGTGGGCACCAGGGCACCAGGGCACCAGACTGCGTGTCTCTGGCAGGAAGAAACCCCCAGCGGAGGGGGTCAGCAGCTCTAATGCTTAGGAGACCCAGCACCAAAACACTTTCTGGACTCACGCAGACTCTAGTGCAGGCAGGAGCGCTGTGCTCTGCCGCCATTGTTGAGTTCCCCTGGGGCACTGGGACACACAGCTGCATCCTCGGACCTGCAGGAGCCGGAGAGCCATTACAGCAGCCCTTGGATACTGTGCCAGGGATCAGCCAGTTGTCCCTGGCTGGACTGTCAAAACTGTGGGAATCCCTGGTCCTTCAGGGGAGCTGCACCCACAGCGTCTGGACCAGAGCAGTACCTGCAGCCGCCATCCCAGACAGAGACACACAGCTTCTGGTCCAGAGTGAGGCACCCAGCCTCCAGACCAGAGCAGTGCCCCCAGGCGCCAACTCAACCTAGGTGCACATTCTCCAGGTCCAGAGCGGAGCAATCAGCCTCTGGCCCAGAGACTTGCTGAGTGCACCTCCCACTTTCCCAGACAGAACTGTGTGCCCCAGGATAACAGACTGAGTTTCCCTGTTGGGAGAAAACCCCACAGCTAGGGAATCAGCAGTTTCTTCAAGAGGACTGTACATGGAAATTTAGTGAGCAGCAGCACACTAAATTTATAACAAGAAACCCAGCAGTGGGGCAGCTGTCTTGAGAAATTCTATGGGTAAGAGGAGATCCCCCCCTGCCTAACATAGACCACAGCTACTACTCAGGGCTATAAACCTGAGGTGAGCAGTGGCAACTCCTGAGAAACACTGGCCATACAGTGACCATAACCAAAAAGCAGAGAAGGACTCCTTCAGGAAAAATCATCTTCCGGCCAAGGGGATACTCCCTACCTCAGGACTCCAGGAAGCACAGAAACTAACAGCCAACACCTAAATCAGCCCAATGGGTAGAGGTCAGCGTAAAGGCTCAACCAACAAAAGACAGAGCAATATGGCATCTCCAGAACCCAGCCATCGAGGGGCGAACAGCCCTGAACAATGAAGCATAATAGAAAATCAAGAAGATGACCTTACATCTATGTTGATGAAGAGAATAATAGAGGAAACAAATAAAATATGTAAAGAATTAGAGGAAGATAAAACCAAACAGATCATGGCTATCCATAAAGAAATGGAGGAAGATAAAGACAAGCAGATTAGGGCCATTCGTGAAGAAATACGGAAAGATGCAGCCAAACAACTTGTGGCCTTCAGAGAAGAAATAATTAAATCACTGAAAGAAATAAAAGAGACAGAGTTGAAGGAACTAAAAGAGAAAGAGGAAAATACAAGCAGACAGGTGAAGGAAGTAAACAAAACAACTCAAGACCTGAAGATAGAACTAGAAAAATTAAAGAAAACACAAATGGAGGAAATAATGGAGAGGAAGAATTTAGGGAAGAAAACAGGAACTACAGAGGTAAGCATAACCAACAGAATACAAGAAATGGAAGAAAGAATCTCAGGTGTAGAAGATACAATGGAAGAAATCGATGTATCTGTCAAAGAAAATGTTAAATCCAAAAAATTCCTGACACAGACCGTCCAAGAAATCCAAGACAACATGAAAAGACAAAACCTAAGAATAATAGGAATACAGGAAAAAGAAGACTCCCTTCTCCAAGGCCCAGAAAATATTTTCAACAAAATCATTGAAGAAATTTTCCCCAAGTTAAAGGAGAAGCCAATAAGGATATATGAGGCCTACAGAACACCCAACAAATTTGACCAGAAAAGAAAATCCTCCCTCCACATAATAAATAAAACAGTAAGTATACAGAACAAAGAAAAAATACTAAAAGCTGCAAGGGAAAAAGGCCAAGTAACATATAACGGCAAACCCATTAGAATCACACCTGACTTTTCAACAGAAACTATGAAAGCCAGAAGGGCCTGGACAGATATCATGCAGACCCTAAGAGAACACAGATGTCAACCCAGGCTACTATACCCTGCAAAACTCTCAGTCCTCATAGACGGAGAAAACAAGATATTCAATGACAAAAACAAATTTCAACAATACCTACACACAAATCCAGCATTACAGAAGATACTGGAAGGGAAAATACAACCCAAGAAAATTAGCTTCTGTCAAGAAAACACAGGAAATAATTAACCTTACTGCAGCAAAACAAAAAGCAACCAAGCACACAACCTTATGAACACAGCCAACATCAAAATCAAAGGATCTAACAGCCACTGGTCATTAATCTCTCTCAACATCAATGGACTCAACTCTCCAGTAAAAAGACACAGATTAACAGAATGGATACATAAACAAAACCCAGCAATCTGTTGCATACAAGAAACACACCTAAGACACAAAGATAGACATTACCTGAGGGTAAAAGGTTGGAAGACGACTTTCCAAGCAAATGGACCCAAGAAACAAGCAGGAGTAGCCATTCTAATATCTGATAAAATAGACTTTCAACCAAAATTAATAGAAAGAGATGAGGAAGGACACTTCATACTCATCAAGGGAAAATTCCAACAGGAAGACATCACAATCCTGAACATCTATGCCCCAAATACAAGAGCACCCACATTTGTAAAAGAAATATTGATAAAATTTAAACCACATATAGATCCCCACACATTAATAGTGGGAGACTTCAACACCCCACTCTCAACAAAGGACAGGTCAACAAAACAGAAATTAAACAAAGAAACAATATCTCTGACAGAGGTCATGAATCAAATGGACCTCACAGACATTTACAGAACTTTACACCCAAACACAAAAGAATTTACCTTCTTCTCAGCACCTCATGGAACCTTCTCCAAAATAGACCATATAGTTGGTCACAAAGCAAGCCTCAACAGATACAAGAAGACTGAAATAATCCCTTGTATCCTGTCTGATCACCATGGAATAAAGCTGGACTTCAACAACAACAGAAATAGCAAAAAGCCTACACACACATGGAAACTGAACAACATGTTACTAAATGACAGCTGGGTCAGGGAAGAAATAAAGAAAGAAATTAAAGTCTTCCTAGAACTCAATGAAAATGAAGACACAACATACCCTAACTTGTGGGACACAATGAAAGCAGTGCTAAGAGGAAAGTTCATAGCACTAAGTGCCTTCAAGAAGAAATTCGAGACAGCTCATTCAAGCAACTTAATGGCCCACTTAAAAACCCTAGAAAAAGAAGAAGAGAAGAAGCAGACACACCAAAAAGGAGTAGATGGCTGGAAATAATCAAACTCAGGGCTGAAATCAATAAATTAGAAACAAATAAAACAATTCAAAGAATCAATGAAACCAAGAGCTGGTTCTTTGAGAAAATCAACAAGATCAACAAACCCTTAGCCAAGCTAACTAAAAGGAAGAGAGACACCACCCAAATCAACAAAATCAGAAATGAAAAGGGGGACATAACTACAGACACTGAGGAAATCCA